TCTCTCTCTCTCTTTCTCTGCCTCTCCCTCTTCCTTTTTCTCTTCATTCCTGCTTATTTCCTCTCCCTCGTTCGCTCTCGCGGGCGATAAGCACCCTTTGACCTTTCAGTTTAAGTTATTACTTTTATCCGACGTGGGTCACGGGGCATAAAGGCTCGTTGAGCATCGAATCGACTCTATCAGTCCAATTAAGCGGCATGCCGGCCGCGCGCGAACAATCGCGAAACCGCGCCTCGATTCCTAAGTCCACGATCACCTAACAGGCACCCCCCCCCCCCTCGCCGCGGGTCTTGTGTGTCGCGAACACTTTTTTATATTTCTCGCGTGAGATATGGAACTAAAGAGCTAAAGGGCGGCGGCGTTGGCGGAGCGCCGCGGCCGGCATAGATCGCTCGTGAATTACATTGTGGGTCGGCGCTGTCATTACGTGGTTTTTCCCTCGCTGCGAATCGACGTAGGTCTCGACGCTGGTCTTCAAAACGCCGGGCTTCCTCGAGCGGGGTTACGAGGCCGTGTAATCGCGTCGTCCGAAATGCCCCGTCGCGATTACGTCGCGGATGCGGTGCGAGCGCTCGCGAGTGCTCGCGCGGTCATCCAGTCGGGAAATCATCGCGCGTCGCGTGCGTCCATCGCGAACACGGCCGTGTGAGCATGGTTGAGCGGATATTTTACATTAGGGTCGTGAGCGAGATTTCCCTAAGATGGCTCGCGGATGGACTTGAGCTAATAGATTTAAGCTGCTGTAAAATAATCGGGAAATTTAGGAAGAACCTCAGTGCAAAAATAAAATATTAATTTATAATTTGAAATTCATAGATTTGTAACTAGAATAAATTTTACAAGAATTGTTTACATTTAGATGCGAACATTGTGCTTTTTAATCTTAAATCGTAAAAGACAAACATTATCGTGTTATTTCTTCTCTTTCTTCATATTCTTGTTTAATTTAACAAAGATTAATAGCAATTAATAAATATTTGTTTATATGTGCGTTAATAATATCTTTTAATTATGATGAGCGTTATATAAAAAACTTTTTTTCTTTAAATATTAAGTAAATGAAAATTAATAAATTAATTATTCATAATTCGTAAATATAAATGTGTGATAATCCCTAAAAAGAAAGGAAGCAATCTTGTGGACGAGAGGGTAGTAAAGAAGTACAAACGTATTTTCAAGCCATTGTATACGACCATGTAGCAGACAGACGATCATATAGCATGTTCGAGGGGGTGCTTTTCATAACGTTATCCAATGCTTCCTTATAGCACATCTGATGAATGCGTTATTAGGTTCGCGTGCATTTGCTCGCGTTTCTACGTCTCAACGAGCACCTGCACGAGGTAGATTATTCTCATTACGGATGCAGATGAATGATCTTTGTAACGGGATGAGATGCGTTTTGAGAATCGCGAATAATGATTATATAGGAAATATTTCCCCCGGATTTAACGAGAGCAGAGATTATCGAAAGATGCAATAAAAATTGATATTCAACACACGCGACGTATTGCAAATACTGGAAGATCTAATTCTTTGGAACGGAGTAGATAAAATGTACATTACAAGATAAAACAAGCGAGGGAAGAAAAATGAGTGTTATTAATCACATAAAAAAATTTTGTAATGTCATTCCTCGCCACGTTAATTCCATTTGCGAAAGATAGAACGCGAGATTCGTCCGTATACGTAATTGTACGAGAATTAATTAATATGAAACGTAATCATTGAAAAAACACCGCGAGATGGAAGATAACGTTTGAAAAGTCAAAAATGTATGTAAAAGGGAAGAAAGAGAAATTTTTACAAGTCGCTTAC